AGTCGCCTGGGTGAAACACCTAACGACGGCTTGGGGTAACAATGAGTAGTACAGGCAATCTGTCTAGCTCAAAGGTTGATTGAGATCCAATGACAAACTTAATTGACAAGGTTGAACACAAACCATAAGGGTTGTGTTCCTACATGCTATATACTAAATGTGTCTACATGGTGATCTGTCTGCTCTGTGTGATCTGACAGCGCAGTGAGAGCAGTGGGAGCATTCATGCAGAGTGCTCTGCATGCTCTGTTGCTGTACGTTGGATCGTGAGATCAGTGAGAGCATATATGCAGTCTGACAGCCGGCCTTGTTCCTGTCTCAGTTTAACCAAGACTTGCCGCTGCTCTGTTGTTGCCTACGTTAGCGTGAGAGCGATCCTTGTCAGTGCTACCTAGTGTACTACTGATCGTAACACTTACATCCTATGTCAAATCAGCGATCAGCAGGATAGACTGATGGATTCTCTAGAGGTACCTGTCGGCCTTTGATCTTTCCGGCTTGGCCTTCTCCCGGACCGAGAGGGGTTGGCAGCGCCAGAGCCACGATGGGCATCGCCATGGCTAGGAGTACGGAGATTTTCATTTTGAAAAGAGGTGAACAAGATGAGCGACAGGGAAAGAGGAGGAAGTGTAGGGGCAGAAAGTGTAATATAAGTTTGGCATCTCTTTTGCGTGCCGGTGCCTTGTTCTGCTTTATCTACGTCCCTGCTGTCCTACGATCTGAAACGGCTCTTGACATAAACTGATTGAGGGTAGTGCCATACTGGCTAGCTGCAGCGCTTGACTCAGGATCCTGCTGAATGAGGATTGCTTTTAGTAGCGACGGTATTACAGCCTTGCACGAGTCTAGGCTAGTGTCTGTACGCTCTGACGAGCTTGTGAAACTCAAATGCGTGTACGTGTGGTTGTGCAATGATGCCATCTACGCCTCTCTACACCCGAGCATCTGCGACCAAGACATGCTAGACCCTATGTCTTAGGTGTTAAGAGCACGGGCGTCTGGCTTCGTGCTCCAGTTCTGTAAGGCCATGAGACCTGGCTGCAACTACCTCCTATCATGAAGAGCTGGAAAAGGACGAGTGTGGTTCCGCGTTGATCGTTTTGGGGCCTCCACCCTCCATTCGCTCGACTTGTCCCTGGTGGTTAATTCTATCTATAGTGCAGCAGACACGGCAATGTCGCACCGCGGAAGTCTGTGAGAAGTGGGAATGGGAGACGACACGGAACAATGTTGTTTGCAAAGCAGACCTTCAAGACCGCCACGATTTCATGCGTACCGAAGCAGGTGGATCTCAGGTCACGTGATGTGATGGCCTATCGCTACCTGTGCCCAGCCATCACATCACATCACATCGCCATCTGTGATGTGAAGACTTGTCACAGTTCTATATATGTGTGTCAGACTTGCTGATAGAGTAAATCATCACACTTGTATCCTTACTTCAGAGCTACAACTAAAGCCATCGTAGATCAGTACACGTTGCGTGTTGTTAGCTCCCTCCCTCATCCAGTCTCGGGGTCAAATTTACGCTTCAGCCATTGCAAGCTGATGTACGAGTCGGTATTTCAAGTCTTAGAGCATGCATGCATGCTGCGATCCAGGGGTGTAGAACGTAGTCCAGTTGCTTCGGTGCGTCGTCGCTGGCCAGATGGCTATGGGATCAAGATACCTATCATCGTGCACTTCAGCCGTGCACCTCTGTAGTCTCGCATGTCGCTCTTACCAACCAGTACCTCTACTGACACTAGCCTTGAGAGCATGACGCCCGTTTGGTCCATGTTGTACACGTTCGCTACCAAGAAGGGTGGGTCTCTTAGTGTTTACCCAATGACCCTCATTCAGTCTACGATCTTCCTGCACGTGTTTTTCTAGTAGCGGCTCCAGTCCGGTGGCTTCACGCTCCTCGCCTGTGTTCTGCGATGGCGTTCCTCAAAGGCGTGAGGCCGGCTTTTGCTCGACTGTCTGGACGATCGCTCCATCTCAGATCGCTGGCGGGCGACGCAAAACGCTAAAAAGGGTACAAACTATCTCGCACGCACTGCCCCATGTCAGATATATGCAGGAGAGAAGTTATCTGCGCATTCTTCTTCTAACGACTCAGATATTGATGGTTCTGCGTTTTCCTCTACTTAGTAGCGGCTATGAGCACAAGCGCAGAAGGTGGAGCGAGAGACACTATCGCGATCTGCCTAAGCAAGGTAAGCGGTAGACACGCTAAGCGGGAGTCCCTGCGACACCACACGGCTCTCCGTGGCCCGACTTCACGGCATCACTACTTTCCAACTGAGAATCTCAAGAATCACAGCTCATAATACAGTCCAGACGAACGCACTTTGATGGCACGGCATTTCACTACAGTTCCACATGTAGGACGCGACTTTCTATTTATCTGGAACGAGTCTATCCCTAGCCCAGATCGTTTTCTTCCAGTCGTGAGGGTCGCGTGGAGGTAAGGTTTGTTGAGTCTACCTATGCTGGCGGGGGCGAGCATCCTAGGCCAGTACCAAAAGTATTGTTGTATATGTTACAGCACAGAGCCGTATAGCCGCCAGCATTTTTGTCCCTGCAATAAGTCCTCAAGGCGGTCGCGGTCCCGGTGGAGGTGCTAGGTGCTGGATCACAAAATAAAATGAGATTTTTCGCGATGTCGGTGTGGACATACCGATACACCCTTCGGCACCAGCATTGAGTAGTCTAGTGGTGCAGCAGAGCAGTCGCACCATTGCATACTCCATTGCGCCTCTCGAGAGAAACGTCCGCATGCTCGGACTTGGGGGAGGGGAGAGCAGTGGCAACAGTAGCCATTAGGCCAAGAGCGAAGATGGTGAAATGCATTGTTGCAGGATAAAGGCTATAAATAAACCGGGGTAGGATGTGGGTAATTCGAATGCAAAGACTCGTAGGTAATCGTGAGTTATGAGTACAGAGCGCCTCAAGATCAAAAGAGCGAAACACTTATATATAGAGATCGTACCGATGGAAACCGCACATTAGTCAAGCATATAAAATCTTATGTCTCAACAGGGTTAATTGCGTGCTGCGTTCTTTCGCTCTGTTGGAAACGTCAAAAGTGACTAGACAACAGAGTTTGGTGCATTCTTGTATCAAGCATAGAGATCAAATACAACCCTCCGCATCGAAGCTATTCATTTACATATATACAGCACCGTCTCTGCATATGATAGTGGAACCACTGCCTGTTATAGGATCGTGGTTTGACAAAGAAATGCTAGACAACATTCTGGCCCTCTGCTAGCAAATATCGTTGACGTCTGCGAGAAGGATTTCACAATGCTGGGAGAGGGAACAGTAGCACAGTGCTGAAAGACGCGTGCGGTTTCTTCCAGTAAGGGTGCGCTTCCCATTCGATCGATCGGCGATCCGAAACTTCGTGTACAATCAGAAATGTGTTTTGAGGGCGTCAACAATCCGTTTGTCTCACCCAGGGTTCCCACCAATAAAGTTGGTAGCACAGTATGCAAACCATGCGCCCTTATTCTGCAAAATAAGCGTTTTTCAGGTGATTTGAAATTCTCGACTATGATAGCCCAGATCAAGGTCAGTCAGCTATGAACGTAACGTTGTCACAAATCGAGGGCGGTATCACTAGTTTAGCGGTGTGGTAACCTGGACATAGGCTGAACTGGTGTTTAAAATGAAGTACACATGCACGCTCTTCTTGATTCCTAAGTCAGTGATGCCCGCACCCGACCGTGGGTTCTGAAGAATGGCTAGACATGTGTAGATCAGAATCTCGATCTTCAGGCTGTCGTACACCATTGTGAGGTAGCACGGCTCGGAAGCCAAGTCTATACGAACTCCTTGTGAGAGGGGCCACACTACCAGTGGCGCGAAGTCTAGTATGACCAGTTCGCTGGAACCAGTAACCATGAGATGGATATATAAATTGCTACTGTATTCTCGGATCCATCTTTAAGTTATCGAAATCAGCGCGGGATACAGTAGACTTGCATTGCTGCCCATATCTCAACGTCGTTACTATGAAGTTAGTCACCGTTCTTGCTGCTCTCGTTGCCACGGCATCTGCTACCACGATTGATACTCGCTGGGAAAAGTACAGCGACGCTACGCTTGCAAAACGTCGAATCTACTGTATCGAACCACACTTCTTATACTGCTGCTTGGATCAGCCCGATACTGGAATTGTGACAGACACCTTGATCAGGATTACGCCTGGTCTCAAGGATTTCCTGGATAAAATTCGTGGGATGCCTGGCTCATGCACAATTGGTAAGCTAAGCCAAGCCTTCACCCTCAGCTCAGCCTCCTCTGCCTGGAGAGAACATTAACCGGGCCACTGGCGAGCGATGGTTGACAATCACACAGCGGATATCAATAGCCAATGTGCCAACGTCACATTTAAATCGCCCGCTGGCGTTGTGACAGCTCTCTCATTTACCCCACGCTGTTGCTTATCTGATGTACGTATCATCACATGTAACTAACCAAAGATTCTGAAACGAACCCTAACAATGTGTAGAATACATGCAAGGGCGTGGAAGGCACGAAAGATGTCACGCGACAATAGGTCGAGTTAGTGAAGCATCCAGGGAATAGAGTATGATCTTACGTAGACCTAGCGTAGATCTAATGGGCCCACGTCGATGCTTTAAATCTCAGCTCACCTGTTCTGTTCCTTCCGTTCGCTAGGCTGAAGCATATGAGAAGGTGGATATAGGAGTCTTGTCCAGTGTATGACGAAGTTCCTCTGAGATTCAGCGCAGTATGGACAGAAGGGTTCCTGTCATGACTGTGTTTTGACTAGAAGAAATCCACAGTATTCTCAACTGTATCTTCCCTTAGTAGGCACGATATTCCTGTCTTCCTCCCTTCTGTGCTCTGAGAGCTGGTCTCCGCATCTCTACTGCATCTCATGACACCGCAACATGGCTCTTCTTTTTCCACGACGCCGGCGACTTTGGCCTTCCATTGGGTACAAGTCCGTCACAAGGTTCCTCCAACTCACTGTCCGCGATCGGCTAGGCAACTTCGTTCTCCCAGCCAATCAACATGCTGCTGCCCCCGGACGTGGATTCGCTTCTTGCGATGCCGTGTGTTCTGAAGACGAGAGGCATGTCGGCTTGATGGTATGCACCTTCCCACCATCGAGGCGCGATGTTGCTGAAGTTGCCTCCGTATAAATACCTGAACGTAGTAGCGTGGCCCCCCGCGTATCTGTCATGCGTTGTGAAGACTGAGGGGCAGAGAAAGACGCTGAGGGTGCCGTTGTCGGCAACACCTTGATCTGGCCCAAATGATCTGTTGTAGGGAAGGAAGGCCGCGAACTCGTTCACCGTAGTCCCAATCATGGCAGGTCTACGAATGAAGTCGCCAGACAAAGCACGCGCGGTATGATTCGAGAACACAGTCCGGTTGTTGACTATTGGGGCGAACGGGAGTGGCGGGGATGTCCCGTTTTCTGACCGTGCTTGCAGAAAAGCAGTGATGTCTGTGAACTTCACATTACGTAGACAATCAACCTCGGCAGCAGCATTTGTATCCTGACAGCCAAAGTTCTCTGCAACCACCGTAAGGTCCGGAGACTCAAACGGTATGCTTGAATGTGCGGTGCCAGAGCTCATGATCAGTGCAGCTACTATGGGGTCAACTGGGTATGCGAAGCTGTAGCTGTCAACTGACACAGCACCTGCAGAATGTCCCCAGAGTTTAATGCGGCTTGCATCACCCCCAAAGCTGACGATGTTGTCTCTGATCCACTCTACAGCGAGTCGCTAGTCCAGCAAACAAGGATTCTGCTCATCACGCTTCAAGCCCGCAGTGTTCGGCGATCCAAATATGTTCAGTCGATAGCTGCGGCTCGTTTCAGTCTTGAGGTTTTCAATATATACCAAAAAGCTTACTTGATTCCGACCACAATGTGTCTTCCAGTTCTTTCCACCCATCGGCTTGGATTTTGGTATGGAACCGATGCACCTCCACTCTGAAATGATCTGCCGTGGATTCAAGCAATGACTGGCAGCAAATCCGTGCTCTTCTTGTTCGACGGCGCCCAGATATTGACGGACAAACAATCTTCTCCAACGTAGTCATGAGGCATGATGCCAAACTGAGGGGCATCGACCGACCACAGTGTGCTCCTATTACTCTCTAGTTGTGGGCATGCAGGACCAAACTGCGTTGCATCGATGACTCCCTTGTCCTGTCGGACCGCCGGTGCTGAGGGTAGCCAGCGTCGTGCCCCTACTGGCTGTTCAGCATACGGTACGCCGAGAAAGACCCGTGAAAGAAGCGTGTTTCGTGCCCGTATCTTCACTCACAGGACGAGCATTCCAACCGGGCGATGTATTCATATGCATGACTGACTAAACACAAAGAACCCCTTCGACTCCAAATAGGAGACGACCCAAGTCACATCCTGGGCAGGGCTAGACTTTCACGTGCGGACTTTCATAAGCGGTCTAGCTAACGCAGTGATTTTAAACATAAGAGGACCTTGATCCTGTGTCTTTTACACTAAACCAGTTAGATTTACATAGAAATTACCCCATCCTTCCTTCTGTATTTATTTACCCAAACGCGGTGTTTATTTACGTGTTCTCGGGTGTTTTTACACCATCTTGTACCTCAGTGATTTCAGACAAATTCTATTTCGAGCTGTGGCCACTTCCGTGCCATCTGTCTACCATGTTTGGCCGTGACGTTAGCTAGAGTCGCCACGCACGCACCGGATAACAAGATAAGTGATGCTATGACAATTCAAAAGGGTACGTACAGAACGACATACCCTAACTTCGAAGCCAACAACTGAGCACTTGCAAAGTTTGCATCAATGTTGCCTTGCACTTGAAAAGAATGTAGCTCGTAAGCTCGAGACGTGTATTGGGTTTTGCTGTTAAGGTAGCATCGCTGGTCCAATCAATGTCGTTTAATGAGCACAAAAGCGAGGGTAGGTACCCTGACTCTGTATGTAATCAAGTGTTGAGGCTGGTAAGCGAACTAGCAAGGCCACCCACAGTCCCGTAGCCCCTTGGTGTTTCCTTCATGCTCCAGCCCTTCGATGAAGCATATAAATCCCTGTGCTTGTTCGACAAGCCTAGCTTCTTCCCCCGCTTCTGTCTGCAGCAGTGCGAAGACCAATAATTTTTAGGCATAACTGTCATGTTCTAGTGCAGTGTCTCCGTAAAGCGATGGTGCTATCCCTTGCTTCTGTGCAAGGGCAACGATTCGGCACAAGCCAGAGGCCCTTCTGCCTTACTGATTCTTGTTGTATGCAATTCCTGGAACACAGCAGACAGGCCAAGCGCATACGCTTCGCCTGGGAACTTAATGCTGACTCGATTTACCGATCATACCATCCAATGTTTCAGTCGCCAACTTCCATCCTCTCGCAAGGACTCGGCCATTGTCTGCAATGATTCCTTCGACACTCTATCCACTCGATGACTTACAGAGGAACCAAATGTCCAAGCTTCTCGGTGCTCTGTCGTCTAAGACTGTTGATTTCGACTCGGCACTTTACCAACTGAGCAATAATCTCGAGAACCTTTACATGCATCCAACCCTCATCCGTGATATCTTCAAAGGCAACGATCTACACAAGGGATATAGTACCTTTATTGACCATAGGCTAATGCTCGCAGAACATACGGCATGGCGTGAGCGGCCGCTGAGACAGCACAATCTCGTCGAATGGAGCCATCGACAGGTTCTCGATCGCACCAAGCAGGAGCGAGGAGGGAGACACCCAGACACACTGACGAGCATGAACAACCTAGCGCTGGTGCTGAACGATCTGGGAAAGCATGCCGAAGCAGAGCGCCTGCACAGAGAGACGCTCATACTGAGGGAGCAAGTGCTGGGAGGAGAGCACGTGTCCACGCTGGCGAGCAGGAACAATCTCGCACTCGCACTGAGTGGTCAAAAGAAGTACGCAGAGGCCGAGCAGATGCACAGGGACACGCTAGACCGAAGAGTGGCGGCGTTTGGCAGAGAACATCTGGCGACCTTGATAAGCTTGCACAACCTAGCGCAGGCACTGAGCCGTCAAGGGGGATATGGCGAAGCTTTACCACTCTACAAGCAATCGTGCACCGCTTTCTGCGCCATACTTGGGCTCGATGACCCAATCACGCAAGCGTGCGTTGATCATTACAGATATGTTCAGCGAGCAACAGGCACAGCCGCAAGCGCTGCGCTTGCAGAGCACTAGAGAAAAGGACTTGAGAGGGCACCTGACTTCGGCACACAGCCACCTCAGTCCGTGCTGTCGAGTTTTGCCAACAACTGCGGCAATACGTTGACCTTCGGAATGAGAGACGACAACAAGGCAAAAATCCTGCTATGCCTCACACTGGACATATTTAGGAAGAATGGGGATCCAAGAGGGTGGACAGAGAATTGGATCGCTCGCCAAAGTGCTCGTTTCTGAACACGTCGCTTGCTAAGTTGTTACGCGAATGTCATGCAATTTGCTAGTAATTCGAGACCTGAGCCTCGGTGGGATGGCCAAACTCTCCCTTGAATTGACGTTGACGACGATCAGGTCATTGGTGACGCAGCAGACAGTCAGCGCTTCTTAGCGGCCAGGTCAGCATGACTTTTCGCGTTTGCAGTGCTGATACTCCAGCTGAGCCCCTCCAGCATAAGCTGCATTGGACTTTCGGGAACCATGAGCGCCTTCGCGCTGTTTACGCTGGGTTCTGATAGTAGTCACATCGATGTTTCACCCCTGTGCCAGCCTCACCTTCATGCGCGCTCATAGCCTTTGGCATTCGATGCACACAGCGCTTACAGTCTACTCATACTACGGTTGAGGCGTTAACGCGCGAGGATCAGGGCCCAGTAAGCGTCCTGAGGTCAATATGGGGTGTTTTAAGGGTATACAAGTAGATACATAATGTGGCATCAAGGTTGCGGTCGTGCGGCAGCGCAAGACGCTGAACAAGACGATTCAGGCTGCACTTGGCCGTAGCCTTTGCTGATGAACCCTTGTCAGACCAGGCGCACGACTGAGATTCTGATGTGACGCCGGAGAATCGTTGCACCCACAGAGAAACGGCCGTCGGCTGCCCTCCAGCCGTGTACTTGCCCCCGTAGACCTCACCTCAGATGCGACGTCCATATCCATTATCCTCAAGTATTCAATTAGCCTCGGTTTCGAGGAAGTTGCTGCCCTGCAGCCCCTCTTTACGCTCCGCCGTGAGACTATTGACGACTCGGCTGGTTAAGTTGTGCCATCTCGATGATTCCGTGTCGTGGAACTTCGGGTATAGGGCATAAGCGTCGAAATCTTGGGGATGTTTTGCAAGCAGCTCGCGCTTGATCGGCCGATATACATCTCTTCAGCACTTCCGCTGTGTTTCGTACAGCTGTGCAGCAGTCGACTCCAAGCGAGCGGCATTGCTAGCAGGGTCGATTGGAGTTTCGATCGGGGTCAAGGGACAGGTGGCTGTGGCGCGCAACGCGATGTTCAATACGGCGGCGACGTGACAATGTCCACCGAGTCCCGATCTACATGTGAGAGTTTAAGGGTCTTATCGGGCGGGCGGTGTTTGGTGCGCGACGTGGACCATTGCACATAGAGGAAATTGTGTGATAATGCGCGACGATCGAAAGCAAACATGCTGACGTCTGCTAGCGCGTCTGGAGCTCGGGCCTCTTCATTCGAGTCCAGCTTACGAAAGGCCAGAATCCGATGTCATGCTATGAAGGAGCTCGTATTTTTTGAGTTATGGCCTGTGCGCAGAACACCAAGCTATGCCGCCTGTTCACATTGCCCATACAAATCGTCACCAAAACAGTGAATTATCAACATGATTAATCATTTCTGGCTTGGTGAAGCTAACGTACCTCACGGATGAGTTGGCCAGATGGGTGAGTCAGCCACTGTTGCGATTCGTGCCTTAAGCAAAGCTTGTAGACACTATTCAATTGGTTCTTGGGGATGAGCAGAGGTACAGAAAGCCGTAGGGGTTGACAGTCACCTAAGCAAGGCTCGGGTGGTCAGGGGTAGACTATCCGGGCAAGGCGGTAGTAGCCTTTGTAATAGTCGAGGTAATAGCCGTCTAGCCGGAGGCCGTGACGACTGGGGGCAATGAGTAGTACAGAGTATATGTTACGATCCTACGTCCCGCGATAGGATGACAGAAGCAATAAGTAACCACCAACCAAACACGGAAGCCTGGGGGAAGGCGCAGCATGACAAGGCTGCCCGGCCGCCGCCTAAGGGGTTCAGACAGACCCACGTGACGGAGCTCGTCAACGAGCAAGGTCACATGAGTGCTCGTCAACAAGCATGACGCGACGCTTGTCAACGAGCATGGTACGATGCTTGTCAACGAGGCACAATCCATCCAGATAGGCCAGGACCAAATCCGCTCGTCAATGAGCAGGATCTGGTGGACTGTATATAAGCAAGTAGTAACACAACCCTTATGGTTCGTGTTCAACCTTGTCAATCAACTTTGTTATTGGAATCTCAACCGCTCTCGAGTTAGACAGTATCCTCTGTATTACTCATTGCAACCAGTCGCCACGGTCTTTGACTAGACGACTACCCAACTATTACAAAGACTATTACAGGCCCGACCGATAGTCACCAACCCCTGACGGCTTCTGTACCTCTGCTCATCTCCAAGAACCAATCGAATAAGTGCCTACGAGCTTTGCTTAAGACACAACTTCAACACCTTCATCATCACACTGAATTGTAAAAGAAGGCAACGCACCCTCCGGCACCAGTGATAGTCGCGTTTTTACCCTTCAGAAAATATGCTGCTCATTTTGGTCCGACAATTGCAGCATGCAAAAGATAGATCGCGCGCCGAGGTGTGATTGCGACTTTTCACGCAACGGGCCTTGCGCTGAGCCGCACAGGCATGCGACGAAGCTCGCCATAAACATGCGTTCCGCACTACACCTAATCAACTGTATCTGACCATCCATGCCTTAGATGCGGCAACTTGTCAGGGTTATGCAGAGGCTGCATGGGTGGTTGAGTGTGTCACGCTATGTGTAGTAAGATATGGTAAGCAGACAGCTGAGGATGCGCGGCTTCGTTACTAGTCTAGTCATTCCAGTACTTCGTAGATCACCAGGTAATAGAAAGCATATGCTAGGACCTAGCTATCCTTTAGAATACAGGCAGCATAGATGAACGCATAGTAGTGTATTCTTTCGTTCTGACGGCTGACACCTATTGACCTTTTGGGAGCCTCTTCCACGCTGAATGGGCACGCCTGGCTCGCAAACTCTTCAAACCCACAAATGATAACTCACCACGGCAAGGACTTGCCTTCAAAGGTCAGGAATTGGCCTGACTGCTCCGCCGTCGCATCTTCAATAACCTTGATCATGCCGGAAACGCTGTCCTCGAGCGTAGTCGGGGGCTTCTCAATGTTGTAGTCGATGGCCTTGAGCGCCGACTGCCACTGATCGACGACATATTGCCCCGCGCGCGTCTGTACCCATCCCGGATGCAGGGGAATGGCAATCAGACGCGTGTCGCCCTTTGTGCCGTTGAATTCGAGATGGATGGAGCGCGCCAGCCAGTTCTGTGCCGCTCGGCTTGGACCGTAGGCGCCGCCGCCAAACGGATCCATGTCGCCAATGCTCCCGACCGAAGAGGTGACCCAGATGAGTTTGGGAGTCGATTTGGCTTGTAGCAGATATGACTTCAGGCCCTGGAAGACGAGCAGAGGCGCGATGGTGTTGGTCTCGAAAGCTGCCCGTAGGTCCTCGGCTGTGGTTTCGCTTGGCGGGACCATTGGTTGTGCCCCTCCGGCGTTGAGCACCAGAACGTCAATGTAGTGAATGTTCAACTTGGCAAATGTGCTTTCCACTTGATTCGGAGCGATGGCCGTGGAGAAGTCGTATTGTATGATTTCAAGCGTGCTGCCAGTTCCTTTCGTGACGCTCTTGACCTCGTCTTCCAGCGATTGTTTGGCTTGCTCGCTACGAACCGTGGCGACCACTGTGTGCTGGGGACGCGCAAGGAGTGATTGCACAAGGCCGAGACCGAGGCCTCGATTGGCGCCGGTGACGACGTACACTTTGGTTTCTGTGGTGGCCGACATTGGTGCAGGAACAGAGTAGGGAAGAAGACTGGGGAGGGATATGCGGCACAGGCGGAGGCTTCGAGGCTTTGAATCCTTTTGATCCTGGTACCTCAAAGAAAATTTACACAATGGCTTCCTCGCCTAATGAAGAGCGCGGCGTGCAAATTACGACACGTTACCTGCCTATTGGGTTAGGGTATTACCTTTCATGGACGCTCATTGAGGGTCAGCCAAACACATCAGAGTCACCCAGTGTGAGTACTCCGGCACGTACGTAGCTACCTCTGAGCTTCAAACTGTGCGCTACCAGCTGCCTCAACTTCAGCCTACAGTCTATTCCGTGCATTATCTTTTCCTTCGCTATAGGCGGTGGGCATAGAGACGCCAAAGACTCCAAGCAGACAGTACCGACCTTGGCCACTGGATGGGCCGGGGCACTGGATGGGCCACTCCAACCACATTAGATGATTACAAAGATGAGGCTGCGCAACCACATACAGTAGTTATTATCACAAGAAAAGTTGGTGGTTTAGTAAATAGATGCTTGTGCACAATTTGTACTATCTAAATTTTGCTAGAAGGTTGATGCTGCATCCCTGTGTTGTTGTGTGCGTCAGAGGAGGCGAGGGTGGCAATGCAGCTGCACCTCCACTTGCACCACCCACTGCACCACCAGCACAATGAGATTTTTTGCTGATGCTTTGTGAGGTTATTGGAAGAGCTCTCTTCAGTGGTCCTACCAATTTTCTTGCGGTTGCAGCGTCTTTTTCCTGCTGCTTTTGCACCCGGGCTGCCTTGCATTCCCGCGCCTTTGCTTCTGCGTCCTTTTTGCACACCTCTGCAGCACTTTCTTGCAGCTCCTTTGCTGCTTGCTGTTGTCTCTTTTTATATAATGCAGCGGCCTTCTTCAACTCCTTCTCATCCAATTTTCTAAGCTTTTCTTGCTCTTTTTCACGTTGGAATACCTCATCCCAAACCTGTAAGAACCGTACCAACCGTTTTCTTCCTCATACTACTCACACAATTGCTATCCAACTCCTAACCGATCCCTACCCTACTACCTACCGGTATCCCCTGAGCTACATCGAGCTGTTAGGTATATAAGCAGGGCAGTGTACATAGTTATGGTAGATAGTTTTTGAGTATCCTTTCGTACACCCATTTGTCAGCTCCCATTTGTCAGCTTGCCACCCATCTAGGTATATGAACCCCCTTCTTCCCACCTCTAGATAGTTCTCACTCATGCTTGCAACTCAATTCAATACTTCAACCTTCATTCCTCAACTCACTCCTTACTGATCCTATGTGGTATCCCCACACTTGATCCCTTCTTTATCACTTATCCTTTTTACCACTTGTGGTATCCCCACACTTGGTCTCTTCTACACCCTTATCTCCAACAAGCCTGAACCATCTTTCCACCAATCCTTCCATCTCAGAGAGCAGTTGGTATCCCCAGCTGGCCCCCTCTCACAGTCTGGCTCAAGAGCAAGTGAGATTCCAATAACAAAGTTGATTGACAAGGTTGAACACGATGCCATAAGGGCAGCGTGTCTACTTGCTATATACATGAGCAGAGGATTGCTCAGATTGCTTGGATTGCTCGGTACTGAGTATACTGATTGTACCAAGTATACTGATTGTGTTGAGTATACTGACCATGCCAAGTATACTGATTGTGTTGAGTATACTGACCATGCCAAGTATACTGACTGTGCTGAGTATACTGACTGTGCCAAGTATACTGATTGTACCAAGTATACCAATTGTACCAGGTATACATGCCAAGTATACCAATTGTACCAAGTATACGTGCCAAGTATACCATTCATACCAAGTATACTGCTTGTGCCGAGTGTTGCCAACAAGGCCCACTGCTTGGGTCAATTGATACTACAGTTCCTTGGCTTCTCTTGTATTGTTGCGTAGTCCTGTTTGTTCAATGTTGTTGCAGGTTGCCCTTTGATTGTAACACTTAGTTGTACAAGAGTGGCTTGACAAGAAAGGTACAGCCCTCCTGGAAGTCCTCTATCATTTCATAATTGTTAGCATTGTTCCCAAAGAACCACTTCCTGATCTTTGCTTTGGCCTGGTCTGATACCTCTGTACACAGGTGCCTGACAACAATCCATTGCTTAAACCAGGTTTTGATACTTGCTGCTCATCTGTCAGCTAATACCTGAGATTGTTGTACATGGCACCCTGTCACGGGACTGACGCAGACCCTACAGCCCTTTGCGGCTACTGTAAGCAAACGACACTAGCCATTTGTCTACCGCCTTTCCTGTACATAATCCTCAGTAGCCTGCTGCAGGTTGCACCTTGTGCAACGTCTTGTAAATCTACCTGAATACTACTGTTGCAGACCGTGTTTGGTCTGCCTACTTGAATACTATCCCTATTGGCCCTGTAGGGAACCATACGAAGCCGTTCCCTGACACACCCAGCTGAAAAAGCTCAATTGGGCGCTCCTTGTACAGCTCCAGGCTCTTAACCGAGCGACCCATCTTTATTATTCAGCAATTATCACCTCTATAGACTAGCTGCCCACACCTAATTGATATTGTTTATCCCCTGTTCATGTGTTATGATGGGTGGAAGGCATGCTGAGTTGGGGAAGTTCTCAGTGCGGGGTTGTGAAAATTTGTTTTTGCACAAAGTGCGACGCGCCTGCGGTTGCCTAGCGGCGGCCTGACGCTAGATTTGGAGTGGATTCGTTTCGGGCAATTCACCCCTTTCGACCAGGCTCCAGCCACGACATTCCCTTCATCACAAGGTTTCTATGTTTGTTGCGCGAAGTATATATGAGTAACGTGTAACTGCGCATTGTCCAGTATTCACAACAGCAAGTCGATTAGAGTATCGCGCGCAGGGAGACATGTCATCTACCACACCCTGGCCCACCTCCCGAGGTCAAAAGAGCACATCCCAGCTGATAGCCCCAAAGCCTCTCTACCCAGGACTTGGGCTCCCACTCCGCGAATACAATCGAGATGATATATTCCCCATCGGTGCCCACGGAGGCTGTTACGCCGCCACCACGGACCCTTTGCCAGTCCGCGAAGTCGCCATGATGAGTGTCATGGAGTCTTTGACGGACAAACCTGATTGGCATGTCAAGGTTTACAATGAGGAAATTGTTGCGAAGTGGCGTGCTGAAGCTCTTTCAATCCCGAACACCCACTGGTGGGACCTGGCCACCAGCGCGAAGCAACAGCATTGGGAGGCAGACGGTTATGTCAACCTTATTCCAGATGATGCGGACGATTGGATCGAGAAGTCGGAAGAAATCATGTCGGCTACTGCCGTCGACTGTGTAAGTTTTGAGCATGGTGTCGCGATGTCTGATTAATTGAATGCAGTGCATTCAGGAACTTCGCAGTAAGGCTAAGTACTTCGAGAAAACCGGTATGGTGCCAACTCTCGATGCCCGTGCGAGTGTCGTCAAGTCAGACACCCTGGTATCTGAAAGCCTACACGAGTCACTGCTCGCCGCATTCAGAACATTGAAGGCTGACCAAGCCGATTCTCCGGACTGGCACCCTAATTCGGGTGACAAAGTCCAGAACCTAGTACATCCTTCCCTGTACCCCCTGGTCTATCGACGAAGCAGGGTCTTCCAGGATGAGGTAGTTGGTGTTGAAGACGCCATCACTAAATGGTCCGGACGAGGCGCCATTATTCCAGGCGAAGACGAGTGGGTACGACAAGAAAACGAACGGTGGGCGTATGGCGTGGGTGGTGATATTCCCCCAAACTTCTGGTCGGTGAACTATCAATGGCTCCCATCCAATGTTGCATTCCAAGATGATGGCTCCGTGCGCTTCACAAGCTACATCAACAACCTACATCCGACGAAGTATACAGACATTTATCGGACGATAGAACGGTTAATCGAAACGTCATTGCCGATGTGGGACCAGTGCCTCAAGGTGGCTACCAGCTACAAAACAGTGGAAGGACCGGGTCGGACAAACGGAAGATTTGGTGTTCCAACCGATCCTGAGTAAGTCAGCATCGATCTTACCATGCTGTAGCAATCATTAAACTTTTGACAGTGACGAGAACGCCTCGAACTGGGATCCTTCCGACCCCAAACACTGCCCTGACATTGAAGTCGATGAGGAGAAGCTCGAACGCGTAGGGTGGTGGGAGGGTTACTTGGAAGAAGAAGATGGTGGTAAAGAGATGCTCGCTGAATGCAAGTGGAAAGTACTACGCAAGCCTGTACTGCCAGAACCCTCTTTCGAAGAAGTCAACTACGAGCCACAGGCGGGTGAGCGTTTGGTCGACAAATTCCATAAGTCCGGACTTCAAGTCATCGTCAAGATGGCATCCATTGAGCTCACTCCTGAGAAGCCGCACTTCCCTCAAGGAAGCTGGCACGTGGAAGGTCAGATGAATGAGCATATCTGCGCTACAGCCCTCTATTACCTCGACAGCGAGAACATAACGACTAGCAGTCTCTCTTTCAGGATGCAGACTTCTGCCTATTTGAACGATGAAGACACAGGCTTCAGTGTCGGGCGAGGCAACTACCATTGGATGGAGTCCGTTTACGCTACGCATCTTGGCTGCGGCACCGGAGGAGCTTGTTTGCAGAACTATGGTAGCGTTGAAACGAGGGGGAAGCGCCTGCTCGCATTTCCAAACGTTTTGTGAGTCATTCGCATCTGCCATAGTAGAGTCGCTGACCCGGAGCTTGATAGTCAACATCGCGTTTCGCCTTTTGAGTTGGATGATCCCACAAAGCCTGGTCATCGTCGTTTCATTGCTCTGTGGCTTGTAGACCCACACAAGCGTATCATATCTACCGCAAACGTCCCGCCTCAACAGCTGTCATGGTGGGCTGAGGCTTTGGTGGGCGCGAACACCAAGTCAGACATCCACGGTGAACCAACGACGGATTTACGACCCGAGATTGTGAGCCTACTCCGAGAAAATGGTGCACAGCTACCACCCCCCGCCAGTGAGAGCAAGATGCCGGAAGAGCTTATAGCCATGGTACACGAAAGATTGTCGAGTGACGCATTGCCAATGAGCCTAGAAGAGGCGAAAGGGCATCGTTTGAAATTGATGCAAGAGAGAAGCGCGCACGTGGCGAAGTCAGAACGCGCTTGGCAGCAGCATTCGTACAGCTTCTGTGAACATTAAAAGGATATACACTGACCATTGCTCTATCTGCTGCTTGATTGGAAGTCGAAATTCCTGTTCAAGTGTGCGGAACGTCGCTCCTCATGTTCGTTCCACCCGCCATCGCACTTGCTTGCAACCTAAACGCCCTCAAGCTCCCTGTTGTATCCCTTGGCCTCGTCTGTACCCGTTCGATGCTTCCAACTCCACTACCAGGTGCCACACTGCCCATTGTTGATCCTATCGAGACTGGCTTTTGGAACGAGAACGAATGCATCGAGCGTACACAATCGCGATCAACGAGATCGGTTGTACGATCAACGAGTCAGGTAATGACTTCGTCCGGGTGTCCATCTTCGTCATCAAAGCCGACATAGCAGCAGCTGGGGATACATGCACTGGTGTGCCTGGATTCGAGCGCGCTGAGTCAGAACTCGCAGTGTTGCGACGTTGAGACACTTGGGGCATGACATTGAGTGTTCTGCTCCGGCGACGACCTAATGGGGTCTTTGTCGACAACGACGCTGATGGCGATCGACTTGTCGAGCGACTTGATGGAGGTGTCCGCAGTGCCTGGAAGCTCCCAGGCAATGAACTATAGGCTTGCATCAGTTGTTGAATATCCATGGAGGCACGCAGTTTGCTGAGACAACGAATGGCTTTATGAAGGGCAAATAGGGGTGAGGGTAGGAAAAAGGTTGAGGATTTCTGTGAAGCACATAGCTCAGCCCCGCTGCGCTACGCAGACCAAAAAGGTACAGTACTGCTGTAGATAGTGTTACGATCAGTGGTACACTAGGTAGCACTGACAAGGATCGCTCTCACGCTAATGTAGGCAACAACAGAGCAGCGGCAAGTTTTGGTTAAGCTGAGACAGAAACAAGGCCGGCTGTCAGACTGCATATATGCTCTCACTGATCTCACGATCCAACGTACAGCAACAGAGCATGCAGAGCACTCTGCATGAATGCTCCCACTGCTCTCACTGCGCTGTCAGATCACACAGAGCAGACAGATCACCATGTAGACACATTTAGTATATAGCATGTAGGAACACAACCCTTATGGTTTGTGTTCAACCTTGTCAATTAAGTTTGTCATTGGATCTCAATCAACCTTTGAGCTAGACAGATTGCCTGTACTACTCATTATTACCCCAAGCCATCGTTAGGTGTTTCACCCAGGCAACTTACCCTTACTGTTCCAGAACTAGAGCTCATCCTTGAGAACCAACTGAATAGTACTTACAAGCTTTGCTTAAAGTACAACTTCAACAGATAGCAGGTACTGGGATCTGAACAGTATATACCCATGACATAATACCACAAAGGATCAGTGGGGAGTGAAAACAAGTATTGAGTTGGAAGCATGAGTTATCAGAGCAGGAGGGCAGGTGTGAGAGGGGGCCAGCTAGGGATACCAACTTGTCATCCTGACATGGCTTGCAGCCAATAATAATCCACCCAGTCACACCTCATGGAACCTCATGGAACCTCATGGAATCCCATGGAACCTCATGGAACCTCATAGAACCTCATGGAACCTCATGGAATCCCATGGAACATCATGGAATCCCATGGAACCTCATGGAACATCATGGAATCCCATGGAACATCATGGAATCCCATAGAACAACACAGAATCTTCTGGTTGCTGACAAATG